TGATGTTATTGAAATAAAAGAAAATGAAGAGTATAAATCAAACTTAAAATAAGATTTAGCACATGATGAAAGAAATAGAGCTTGCAAAATAAAAAAAATAAAAACAAAACTAACTATTAATATATCAAATAATAGAAATTCTTAGTTGAAAAAGTAAAAGATGAAAGCAAAAAAAAGGAAAAGGAGAAGAAGTTGAAAGAAAGAAGGAAAAGGAGAAGAGGTTGAAAAAAAATAATGCCTTAGCTATGGGAAAGAAAGAGGTAGAGATAGGTAGAAGAAACTAGAAAAAAGATAATTGGCAATGCAAGAACAATTGGATATTTGGAAGCAAGAGATGGTTATATAACCAACATATGTGACAAAATTCTGTCGTTTATGTTTTGAATTCCAAATGCCCAGGATTTTCAATTTGTTTGGTGGTGGGCTTCATCATAATCGACAGCCTTATTTTCTATCAATTATAATATAACCGACAATAAAAAAAGACTGTCGATTATATAGTAATTTGTACCCATAAAAATTTTCCCAAAATTGGTATGCGATATTGTTTTTATTAAAATTATTGTATTATTTCTTTATAAAGTGTTATGCTATTTTTTTTTTAAATTTAAAATTTTATTACTATTTTTATGCAATATTATATATTTCTTAATATATATTCTAATAGTATACAACTAAAAGTAGTTCAAATTACTACATATTTACACAAAATATCTAATGCACTAGGCTATATAAACATATATATCATAGTCCAAAATATCAATATCCCTAAGAAAGAGGTGATATGTGATTAGGTCTGGACCCTCCAGAAGAATAACCACCAATTTGAGGTGATGCAAAACCTACATATGAGTGTTGCTGGCTAAGTAAATGCATATGCTCTTGGAATCTCCTCTCAAAAGCAGCCTTCATCTTTGATACTCTCTGTGAGACCTTTGTCTGAATATGTGCAGTCACCTTTGTTTGAACTCACTTCACCATTTCTTCTTGAACTTGCATAAGCTCAGATTGCAACTATTAGACCTGCATTGTAAGCCTCCTAGTGGTAGAGGATGAGGCCTCATTAGTCTCATATCGTCACCATGGTATGCCATGCTTTGTTGGATCTTATAGTGTGGACATTCCTCGCATCTAATCCTTTTTAGGGGTTCCAACTACCTCTTTCCAGATTTGTGGATCCCATGCTAGCCATAAATCCTTGTTGGGCTCATGCTTTTCTACAAAGTTTTCATCAGTATCATTCTGATCCAAAAAGAAATTTTCATTAGTTATTATAATTAAAATTCCATTAAAAACAAAAAAAAAAAATTAATATCATTAAAAAATTTGATGCTTACGTAAGTCTACTCAACCTGTGGATATATCCAAGCGAGTGGGCAACTTCTTGAGTATCAAGTCTATGAGTCGTGTGAGTCAACATGTATGATTCTAAAGTCGTTGGCCTGACTCTTCCCCTCTTTGCTGCCTATTAAAACATCAATAAAATTAAATTTTAGAATATATTTGGATGAAGATTAGTAAAGGAAAGGTAAGAAATATAAATAAAATATTAAGAAATAAATATAACCATTTTCTTTGTGTTTTGTTAATTTAGTTGCCTTATTGAGAAAGAAAAAATGTTGTTGTTTAATGTTGAATTTTAAATTTCAAGTGTCTTTTAATATTGAATTTAAACTTTCAAGTATCTTTTACGGCCATCATGCAAATATTTTTCTTGTTAAGTATCATTTGGTTTTTTTTTTTTTAAAAACAATTTAACATTAATAGTTGATTTAACATATTTCTTTTTAAAGGGTTAGAAATGGCTATCATGCTTTCTTATTGATCTCCTTTAATTATATGTTAAGAAGTGGTGCTTAATTAACATCATATGCCAAAAATAAATGGTAATTTTCAACAATATATATAACTATATTTTACTAACCAATCAATCGTTGCGGATCCCAACCGCTATACATCAAGTTGTGTGGGTCACACGTGCACCCTTTGCCCAGTTATGTCGACCTCTATCTTGTAGCGCAATATATTTTGGACTCTTTTATTTTGCTAGTAAAATCTTGAAGTTGTCCTTACGCATGAACTAGGGTAATTTCTTTGATATATCCCATGCCTTTTTAACTCAATGAAGCTCATCCTAGAAATGATTTCGACAATATAATCTTTAAATCCTATGGACGCAAGAAGCATCCTCCTCCCAATAATATGTTCTTTGCATGCAAATATTAAAATTAATTAAATTAATCAAAAACACATTTGTTTTAAAACAAATTAGTAGAGTTCCCCCTAAAATATCAACTTCCCTTGTTAGCAAAAAAAAACAAAAATATATAAAAATATTCAACACTTTCATATCATAATCACCCACATCAAATTCCAACCATTAAGCTCACAATAAATAAAATCTATAATAATTCAAACCAATTCATATCAAAATTTATTATTATTATATATTGCTTTATGGAAAAACTGGCAAAGTTTTTCCTAAAATATCAACTTCCCTTGGTAACAAAAGAAAATATATATATAACTGTATGCAACACTTCCACATCACGATCACCTGCACCAAATTCTAATAATTAAACTCACAATAAATAAAATCTATAATAATTCAAACCAATGTATGTCAAAATTAATTATGATTATATTTTATTTTATGAAAAAACTGAGAGTTTCCCTTAAAATATCAACTTCTCCCTGTTAACAAAAGAAAATATATATATATAACCTTATGCACACTTCCACACCATGATCACCCGCATTAAATTCCAACCATTAAACTCACAATAAATAAAATCTATAATAATTCTAACCAAACTAGCTAAAGCTTAAATGCAGTTAAAGCTTTGGTTGATTAATGTTCTTAAACTTGGGTTGTAACTAGTGTTTGATAAATTGAAATTATGATCACCTACACCATGGTTACCATCAAACTTAAATTCACACCAACTTTCTTCTTGTATAATTAACAAAGATATCAAGATAGTGGTAAGTATAAGGAATGGAGGAGAAAAAAAGCAGGTCAAAATAATAGAAAACCTCAATCAGTAATTTCTATAAGTTTCTATTTTATTTTATAACTTTTATACTTGGAAATTCTCCCAAGCAATCCTCTTCTTTTCTTGAGGCCAACTGGACCAAAAAAGCATTGGCTCATCATATAAAGATTTCCATATAACTGTTGTAGTCCTCCAGAACCTTTCATGACTAAATGTACTAAATGTGCTTCATTGATTCATTAAAAGTAACTTTCTTCGACTCGAGTCTGTTGGAGCATCATCCCCCTTATCCATGCCACAACTTGTCTTTGGCACAGCACGAGATAACTCTTTCTCAAGAAGAGCATCCAATTCAAGATCAAGCACACCAAACTCAACATCCAATTTTGCCTCCAAATTACGCTTTTTAGCCTCCTCCTTCATTGCTGCATCATCACCAAGGTTCTGATAATCCAATGGTGAGTGGATAACAGTGGGTTGTTGTTGCTGTTGTATCGAAAGCTAAGTCTAACTAGATAGCTGCTATTGGGAGGGAGGCTGGCTCAATTTGGGCAACTGTTGCTGTGTGGATATAGCCCTATGAAGGCCTTGAATAAGACAATGTAATTGTCTTTGTGGTTTTGCAGATTGATCAAACAACTATCTAGAGGAT